GAAAGAAAGAAGAAGATGTGAGGCAGACTACACCATAAGCTGAAAATAAAGATGATGATGATAGAATATATTTCAGGAAACAAAAAGGCTAGGACAATAATCTGTTTATAGCATCTTTAGTTTTACAAAAAAATAGCAAAATGATGTGAAAACCGCATCTTTGTCTCTCTACCCATTAACGGAAAATCCCATAAAACACACGATAGTGGGACACCCTGTACATACGCTATTCTCCATTTATCTCTATACTTACCAACCAATCGGCAAGCAAGCGAATGTGCTTATTATAACGGAATTAAGATTAATCTGTGACTGTGGGATTAGGACAAAGCGAAGTTGAAGCGAGGGACAGGGACGATTTGTAGAAATTTGGCGAAGTTGGGGCTGGCTTTCGTTGAGATCTGGGAGATTTGAAGGTTTTAACTTTGACTTAATTGACACTTGGTCTTGTTAATTAATAATTAGCGAGATTTTAGCAAACGGCTTTGTGTGCCTTGTAAACTTTGAAGTTTCTGAACGAAGGATTTTTTAATATTATCGTTGTTTTGGGATAATCTCAAAAAACGTTATAATGTATTTGGATGATAAAATAAATTGACATCTATGTGATAATAATAATTGGTTGTTATATCAGTGTTATAAATTATAAGAAGTCTTTATTCATGCAAGAATATTTTTAATTTAAGTAATTGCTAGAAGATAATACACAGCAGTATGCTATTCCAAACAATGATTAAGCACCCAGTTATGTGGTAGTGTTCTACAGTACCAAGTCGACTGACGGTTTGTGGCCAATAAAATGTACAATGACAGTAAATCAACATTTAGATCAAAGGTATAGTTATTTACTTTAACAATATTTAAATCAAATTTAATTACTACTAATAAGAATTAAAATTAAAGCTAGCTTTAAAATTAAAATTAAAATTGATCAATTTTAATACAAAAGCCGAAAGGCATCAAAAACAAATTGGTATTTAATCAATAAATTGTTAGTCTTCTCTAAAAGCCAACCAATAGAAAATTATGAATAATAGACAAAATTCTACTATCAAACTTAAAAATTTAATAGGTATTAATAATTAAATTTAATAAAATTTTAATTTAATTGAATAAATTATGAAATCTGGCTATAACAGCTTAAATGAAAATAGAATTGAGTATTGTCCAAATTATTTAAAAAAAATAGGCAAAGATAAAATGTATATCTCTCTCTGTCTCTCTCTCAAAAAAATGTGAAATCAATTTAATAAAAAAAGCAAGACCACTACCACACTACAGGTACGATTTTATAAGATAAATTAAAAAAACGTGGTTCTATCAGCCAATTATTTATTACTTTGCACGTGCTAAAAAACAAAATCCAAAAAAAATGCAATACGAAGAGACGATTATTTAAATTATAACAAAAAAATATTATTAATAAGAAATGAATCGACAGATAAGGCGAGAAAAAAAATTAGAAAAATCTTATCTGTCGAGGAGTCAAACGAGAAAATAACCACCACAGGGTCCAGGTATGGAGAAGCCACCCTCTGGCAAGTAAAGTTTTTCAAAGATGACTATAGTTGTTAATAATGAAATTATAAAAGCTTTACTTACCAAAGGCCTGCTTTTCCTGGGATATTCCTGATCGTACTCGTGCAGCAGTTGGTTCTCTCGGACAGCCTGACTCTGTATCGAACACCTGTCTGTGGGTTCCTGTTCCACGTTGTGGCGTCTCCGTATATTATATATAGGTAGAAAAAGAAATAAAATAATTAGTTATTAATAACTCGGGAAGATAGTAGAGTAACTATCTTACGATAAGTCTAAGCACGTGCTCTTATGAGAAAAAAACTGTAGCTATATGATATAAAAAAAACAAATGAAAAAAACAATAGGTAGTTATATTAAGGCTACTAAAAAGTAATGAAATAATTGCTGAAAATAAAATTGTTGAATAGAACCTTAGTAAAATTATCTAAAATCGTACCTTCAGTGTGCAGTCTTCAAAAAATAATATCAAAAAGATTGGAATAATGACCAAATGACCATGACCAAAGCAGAGATGAGAAGAGAAGAAAGCAAAATTTTAAAATTTTTAGTTTTATAGTAAACAATACCCCTTCTCCCGCAAATTTTGACATTAAAATCAAATTGAAAATAGTCATGCGTTGTTAAACTAATTCTCGATAAAATTTCAACTACTAATAAAAATAATACTTAACGACTCCTTACATACCTTAAAAATCAAGGAAACAATTGCATCTTAATCAATTAGCACTGATAACAAGGAAAATTCACTTAACCTCTGTTAAAAATAAACAAATGAATCTCAAACAGTAGGTAGGCAACTAAAAATTGCAACTATTGTATTATGAATTGCCTAAAACAATCTACGGTGTTTTACAGTCTCCAATATTTTGTAGAGCGTACCCATAAGCGTACCATTTGGAGTAATTTGGTACTCCATGGATTCTCGTGATGGATGGCACGATCCATGAAAAGAGCAACTTAATTTATAATCGTTGAACAAAAACATATTAAAATCCAAATAATAAGTTCAACTTTGCTAAGTACCATTGAGAATTATTAAAGAACGATAAAAAATATATTTTAAATAAATTAATTATATTAATTGATTATGATAATTGATTAACGATATATATACGATAATTATTATAAATAATTGATTAACGAATTGAACGTTTATCTAATTCTAGTATCCCGACGCACAACATCGAATCGGGGAAAAGTACGGTACGGGAAAGCGAGTGTCAATGCGAGTAAAATTGCAAACTGTAAAAACGTTGTTTAAAAATAAAATAATCCGAAGGCAAGCACCACGAAAATAAATTTTCGTTACAAATGTAAGAAGAGGATTTTATGATCGCCTGGGTTATTGTCTAGCAGTCGATGGAGGAATATTTGAACATCTTCTTAAATCCTAAAGTTCTAACAATTTAATAGTACCTAAATTAAGAAGTTATTGAATATTGTAATAATACTATAATTAACCTTGTAATTGATTACTTTATTTTACTTTAATTCATATTAATTTGTATTTATAAATACATCTTTAAGATTTCCGATGTAGGAATGAGTTTTCAATAATAATAAAGCACTAAATAGGTAAATTTCTGAAATGACAACTTCATTTGACAGTTATCTTTTACCTTGACTGGTGCTCATAAGTAAATACAGGGCCATAAGGAGAAATATTTAAAAAGAAATCGGCGATAACTCGTAAAGCTAATCAAAAATATCTAAAATTATTCTTTTAAATGTGGGTTTTAGTGCTCTTCAATAAACCTAAATAGAATTATTCTCTAAAATAATTAGGGAAGCCAATAATTGACCTCATTCAAATTTACATGGGATTTCCTATGTCCCCTCCGACGATGTAACACCCGCTATAATTTGGCAAGTCTTTGACAAGCCTCAAAAATATAAAGCGAGTTCATAAGCATCGGCATCATCGTTCCGTCTAACCAATAAAATTGAAATATGATCTGTCATTTTTGAAATAAACCAATAAAACTGGTTAAAAACAAGAGACGACGAATGACGGATTTATATTTAAACCCATCCATAGTTTGCTTAAAAAATATTAGAAACTTTTTTTAGTAAAATAAGTAGATTGGTATGGACGTCATCCTTTTCCTCTGTCATCGTCGTTCGAAATCTTACCTGAGAAAAAAAAAACAGAGTAGAGCTTATATATTTGTAGTACTGCCCTATAAAGGGTTAACTATAATTAACTTTATGTCGTTTTTTTTAATATCAATAAACCTGATTTAATGATGTTTAGTTAAAGTTATAAAAATGCGATATATTCGGTAATTCCAAGCAAAATAAAAGCACTAAACTCTACCGCGTCTGTTTTTATCCGAATTCACATTCTCTTTGCCCTCAAAGCCGTCTCTTTCAAAGTTTCCATCACATCGAATAGCTATCAATCTCGACGAATTGCAGATATATTAGGGCTAGGGTAAACAACGTTAACCGCAAACTCGTATCGGTTGCTGTGCTCAAAGCCGTACAGAAAAGGGGTGAAGCGGCATAAAGGGGTAAGCGTATAGAGTCGGGGATCGACTCATTCGAAATATAGAGCTTTAACTTCAGGTATTTGGAAAGGTAGTGAAGAGAATATAAGAGGTAATGTTATTCATGCCATATTAGAGCCGTGGTGACGAATTTAGGGTGTTTTTTTTTTATATAAGTGAAACTTTACACGGCGTTGGGAGTAAAAAATTCAAAGGTAGTAAAAAAAACAATGTAACCCCGCTATCTCGAGATGGGGTAATGGATAAATGGAGAAACCCCTCCTTATCGAACCTCTAGACCCCACAGTCAATCCGTTTGCCAATAATCAGCTTTAAACGTAAAGCAGTTTAAGCAGAATCGTGATTACTCCATGGTCGTGTTATATAAAACACCCTGTATAAATTTTTTAAATAAAAATTAAAGTATGGAAAACAACAAAATAAAATATACGTGTTTAAGAGTTTTTCCGAAAAACTCACCGGTTTTCAAATAAAAAATATTCTAATATTTGAGGGGTGGTTTCACCCCCTTAGAATTCGAGTTTCGAAAAATCCCTTCTTATCGAACCTCTACACCCTAAAGTCACCCTGTATACATTTTTAAAAAATCTCAAAATATGTAAAAAAACGAAATAAAATATACGTGTGTAAGCGTTTTTTTCGGAAAATTGACCGTTTTTTAAATAAAAAATATTGTAATATTTGGGGGGCGGTTTCAACCCCTTGGAACTGGAATTTCGAAAAATCCCTTCTTATCGAACCTCTACACCCTTGAATCAACCTGTTTGCCAAAATTCAGCTTCTTACGTTGAGTGGTTTGAGCAGGAACTTGATTAATCTGTGAGTCAGTCACTTAAGGATTTTATATATTAGTGAAGATTAAACATTTAATTAAACATGATAAAATAGAATTAATATAAATGTATATTTAAGTCATTATTATTAATTAACAAATGTTTGTCTTCTTTTCAGAAGGTCCTTATTTCGTAAAATCAATCACCAATGTCACCGTATCGCTAGGCAGAGACGCCACCCTCGAATGCGTGGTGGAAAATTTAAATAACTACAAGGTAAGCCATTAGGAAAATCCCTCTTTATTGTGGAAAGTCGCGCCTATTTTCCGAGGGGACGCAGATAAGAAAGCCTTTTGCAAATTAGCTGTGGAACTAACGGACTAGGTCTTATTCTCTCGTATACTTTGGCTAAATTGGTCTTTCCAGAAATAAGATAGTAGGTAATTTTATGATGTTATTATAAACGCAGTTTTAAAAGTCTACTTTAAACGATTTTAGAAAGATGTACTTAAGAGTCTATTACGCTGTACTTTCGGGTCGCTCTCAGGGGTCGGGTAAAGCGGGTGTGTAGCCGAAGGAAATATATACAGGGTGGCCCATCGAAAACGTTCCACAAGGCAAACGGCCAAAGTAATTTTTTTTCAGAAAATTCAAAAACACGTCAATTTTGTTTGTGAGGGGGACAACTTTTGCCCCCAAAAAAATTGCAAAATCTTCAACCGCCGCAATGAAAAGAGCTTTCTATTCTCTATATTTCCCCGTTTCGTTTTTGAAAATCGGTAGAGTCATTGAGAAAATATGAAGGATTGAAATTTGAAAAGTTTATTTAAACATTTATCAGAGTAAATTATAAGGGAAAGTTCCTTCGACAAATTTGCTGCTTTTTCTTATTATTTCTAGATGTTTACGCATTTTTTCACTTGCCACAAGGGTGAACGATCAGGTGCGGTAGTTGCTAGATAGCTGTTCTGTGATTTGTGCATTGAAGTTCTTCTCAATATCGTTAAACTTTTTAATAATTATGGTGTACTCACTTGCAGAAAAAGTGGAAATGATCGAACTTTATTTTAAAAATAATGAATGTATTGGGTTGCGCACATATTCAATGAACGCTATCCTGACAAACACCTTTATGGCAAAATTGTTCGCGAGTTAGTAGCAAAATTTCGCGAAACTGGTTCCGTTATGAATAAAAAGAGGCAACAAGGAAAAATTCTGTAGTAAATGAAGCTATGAAGTTATTCTTATTGGGCCGGGTTGCCATGGATAGTACGCTGAGTCCAAGAAAATTAGCTAATGAGACCGGCGTGAATCGTACAAGTGTCCAAAGAATATTAAAACAACACAAGTTCCACGCGTACAAAATTTAGTTGGTACAAGAGCTTAACGAAGACGAATTTGATCGTAATATCGTTAAACTGACCCAAAATAGAATTTCCAAAAATACCAGCTCACACGATCAATTTCTGAGGGTTTTGTGTGTGCACCTCGTGAAAAAACACTCAGCCCAGTACCGACAGTTATGCCGATTAACTACACCGTTCAAAAAGAAAGTACACTCATCCGAAAAACACACATTAAATAGGAAATTATTATCATTCGCCACTCGTTCACTCACAGTTTCACAAAATTGCAAGCGACGATCAAAATCGTCTTCATTAAGTTCTTGTAACAACTGAATTTTGTACGGGTGGAACTTGTGTTTTTTTTAATATCCTTTGGACACTGGTACACTGGTACGATTCACGCCGGCTAATTTTCTTGTACTCAGCGTACTATCCATGGCAACTTGGCCCAATACGAACACCTCCATAGCTTCATTTACTACAGGGTTTTCCTGTAGTAAATTTTCCTTGCCTCTTTTTATTCATAACGGAACCAGTTTCGCGAAATTTTGCTACTAACTCGCGAACAATTTTGCCATAAAGGTGTTTTTCAGGATGGCATTCATTGAATATCTGCGGAACCCGATTGCTACATTCATTATTTTTAAAATAAAGTTCGATTATTTCCACTTTTTCTGCAAGTGAGTACACCATAAATCTTAAAAAGTTTAACGTGTGAAAAACTCAACACAAGTCACAAGAACAAAGTACCTGATCTGAAGTGGCAGAAATAAATTGGTCGAAGAATTATCTATCATTTATGATAAATGTTTATAAACTCAGAATTCAATCGCATTCCAAAAACAAGCCTCAGAGAATAAAAAACCCCTTTTTCATTGCGGTACTGTCCCTTCCCATTGAAAAAGTGAGGATGTTTCTACTGAAAGTTGAAGATTTTGCAAATCGTTGAAATGTATGCCTTGCGGAACTCGATGAACTGTTAAATAATATAGGATTATGTACAGCGATCAGAGAGAAAGCCAAAAATTGAATAATATACAGGGTGTTTCACTTAAAAAAATCATAGAGATCCACTAACAATTTTTTGAACTGTCATGTCGCCTCAAGTTAAAATATTTTCCTGAAATACATTCTAAAATACATACTTTAGTTTTTTTTACTATAGGAGATACAGATGTCCGACGCAGTATTGCCGGACCCTGTATATTAATTACATTTAGAGTTGATGTAAAAGTTTACATAATTACTAATATTATCAAATTAGTTGAATTACTGGAATAAATTTGCTTAATTTTAAGATCTAACACGAGACATACCAACAACACCAGGAGGCATTAGAGAAGGAGACAGCCTTAGTCCATTCATATTTAATCTCTTAATGGACATCATTATAGAAAAGGTGACCTCTATGAATATCGGTTGTCGAATGGGACACAACAGAGTTAGCATGGTGTATTACGCTGATGATGCAGCCATTATCGCGGAGACAGAGGACGATATAGAGACAGTTTGATAAATTCTATCAAGTAAGCCGAGAATTAAATATGATTATCTCTACAGAAAAAAATAAACGCTTAACTTTCTCTAAAGAGCCGGTAAGATGCAAACTGGTAGTAGAAAATAAAATTATTGAGCAAGTATCACTATTCAGATACCTAGGAATAGATATCCCGCACTAACATGATCCAGAGAAAGATCTGAAAAGCCAGATTAAAAGAGCAACGGCCATGTCAGGATGTCTGAGGCAAATAGTGGGGATGAACCCCTTCATGCGAACAGATAACAATATTAAAATTTATAAGACCTGCATCAGACCAATAATGACATATAGCATAGAAATCCGAGAGGAAATAATGGGAAAGCCTAGGAAAGCCAGAATTATAAACACAAATATCAGACAACAATGTGGAATACAGGACGTAGTACAGGTGGGTAGGCAAAGAAAGACAATGATTTGCATACGTAAAACGTATGGGTAAGAGAAGGGAAACCTATGGATAAGAGACAGCCGGGAAGACCTCAAAAAAGATGAAAAGACAGTTGGCAGTTCATCGCCCAAGAACCCCTACAGAGGCAACCTTAAAATGAACTGATCGACTAGACCTTAAATAAGTAAAAGAAGAAAAATTTTAAGATGTTACATCTATAATAAAATATAAAAATATAAAACAGGCAATTCGAATAAAATAAAATTCAATTTATTTTTACGATCCTTTATTGTTTCAAGTCAAATCATTTTTATATTTAGAGACAATCCAGAATTGATTGACGAATAACTTAAACCCGAAGAAACATAAAAAGCACTTTGTCTGATTGTTTTGGCATGATTGATTGCTGAAATCACTTAACGTCACTGACGTCTCATCGGCGAAATAACAAAAAATACCCGTCATTTAATTTACCGGGGAACAGATTACAGGATATTTCCTTTCTAAAAATATATATTTTACCTTGATACGCTGAGAAATAAACTGACATTAGAATAGAAAAGTCTTTTAGCATGCAAATAAGATCGTTTTTTACATTTTTCATGCGAGCTGAAATCTCAGTTACTGCTGCTTTTTCGTTTCTGATAAGGGAACAGGAAATGTTACTAAAGTCTTTGTCATTTATTTCTCTATTATTTTGCCGTCAATACACTTAGAAGCTTCAATTGCTTTGTCTTATCTCTACTAACTGTCTTTTTGACCTAAATGCATACATTAATTTATCAGTTACTCTGAAGCTTTTTAAATTACGCGTTTTGTGGAATTGTAACTTTTCATATCAAAATAATATTTATTTAATCTTAAGAATATTATAATCCTAGCTAACTCTCAAATTTTAGATAGATTGTTTTGATGTTATTTGGCCATTTATATTTCTAAAAGCCGATTTAAAATTAAATTAACTCGGAGTTGGTCTATCCTCTATCATTCCTGGGCTCCTGTCATCCATGGGCTAAATGAGGTTAAGTCACGTAAACGCAGTTTGGTTCAAACATCTTTTGTTAGTTTAGTATGTTATGTCCACGGGTCCATAGTGACGAAAATTGATTTGGACAGTTTTGTTATTACAGGGTAGTAAATTTAAATTTAATAAAAAGATGGTAAATTGGTTCCAAATTGCAACATACATACCTGTTTCACAACTTTCTGTTAAATGTTTTCCTATATCAGTGATATACGTTTATATCGACTTTGTTAAGGTTTAGCTTTATTCAATTTGGCATAAATAGGGACTTACTATAAGTTTAGTCCTGTAAATATTTTTTTTGATATACAAATTGTCAAGTCACTCAAAAAAAAGGTTGGTATTTGTAATTGTGTTGGTAATTTATTTAAAACTGTTTTGCATTTCATTTAAGTTCAAAATAAGTGGTTCATATACCAAATGTGTCCATATACCATCATAGTTTGAAAAATATCCGAGTAATTAGCAAATAACGTTTGTGACCTAACATAGTTTGCTTCTGGGGTGCAGATTTAGATGAGTATGTACAGGATGGCGACGTGGTAGTTTATATCGAAATGAAATTTTGCCAGCATATGTAGATTAACTGAAAGCATTTTATAAAAATATATAGAATTATAGAGGGTGTCCCCAAAAAAAAGTTACACCTCAAAGTTGTGTTTTTTCTAATAGAACACCCTATATATTAATTCATTTTCGGATCCTACGAAAAAAATAAAGGTGAGTTTTATTAAAGAAGCATATACGTAAAAACTAAGGATTTTGACATATTTCACATTTTGTGAAAATGAAGAGTAAATTTTAAATTTCGATAACAGCTACCTAAATTTTAGTTGACCTTGTATAGCCTGATATTTAATTACAGTAACCACTGTATGTTAAACCAAATTGAAATTTGACCCGAAACGTTGTACAGGGTGAGACAAAATTAATATGGAATTTTAGTCACCTTTAAAAGCAAGTTACTCCTTTATTTTA